CAGTGATGTTGTTATGAAAACTGCTGCAATATGCAGGCCTCTGTTTTGGTGCTCTGCAACTTTGTCTAGTAATCGGGGCCATGATCCGAATTTACAAATTTCCCAGCATCAAGCAGCATCAAGCAGCCCAGGCACTTCCCGGCTGCTGGGTGAAGGTATGTCTCGAGGCCTGGCTGACGGCTGTGATTTGTGGCTTGGAACGAGCTTGGAACGAGCTTGGAACGAGCTTGGAACGAGCTTGGAACGAGCTTGGAACGAGCTTGGAACTGAACATCTCAATGGGTCCGACGGCCTCAAAGATAACGCCACCCACGTTGATGTCAACCTCAAAACTTGGGAGGAATAGAATCGAGCAACACACACATCACTCTCTTCTTCGGGAGCACAGAGATGTTTGATCCAAAAGTTACCATTGTAGAGTCCTCGTCATTGATACAAGCCATTCTGCCTACCCTTTGGCAATCAAACATTGCAATGGGAAATCCCCCATAAGTGGAGGTTTTGAGTTTATATACTGTAATTATATCACGTTTATACAAATGGAAGATGCATTGCCACGTTTGATTACCAGAGAGTAATCAGTACAGTAATGCGATCCAGGGCCATGGCCATCGTCTCTGTGGCCACATTGTGCTCAGAGATCCGTTGTCGCTCTTTCTCGGCGGCCTGGTCGGGATGAACAGCGGAAGGCGGAAGCAGCCAGCAATACGTTACTCTAGCAGGTTTCATCTGTTTCATTAGGAATTCATTAGGAATTCATTAGGAATTCATTAGGAATTCATTAGGAATTCATTAGGAATTCATTAGGTGTCCTCTACGTGCCACAGGTATGGCGTTTGATGCTTCAACTTGCCACCAACCCGGCCACGGCTTTTGTGGCTGCAATTTCTCAGGTCTTTAGGCCCTCTCGACCTCGTATTCCATTCGGAACTTCTCCCTCTCCAGAAGGAAGCGGCGGCGGCCCTGCAGCACCTCCTGTCAAAGTTGGTGCAAGCTGGAGGGTTGAACCATGTTTTGCAGAGTGTTGCACCAGCATTGCGTCAAGTTTTTTAACGATTGCCAGAAACAGAATCCAGGTCGCTCATGGTGGGATCTAGTATGTTGACTATGAGCCATGCGTCGAAACAATCTGGACTGAAGCCAAAAAAATGACCCCAGCATCCTTTCGGACCAGCAATCGCTCTCTCACTCCAACAACAGGAATCACGGAAGCGAGCCTTCTCGATCTGCTCACGTTCTTGCTTTAGGCGTGCCCTGGATTCCTGCCACCAGCCACATCCATCAGGGTGTTGAACGATAAAATCCTGGCGAATGATACAGTATGCAGTATGCAGTATGCACCCAACAAATCGAACGATGGATGAGATTCAAACATCATCAAACCTAAAATAGAAAAGAACTGAAATCTGTGGGTACGGTCTGGAGGCTGCAGGTCTCAAGGTCTGATCCCAATATGTGATTCCTGCCGGTCGACGCCTCACGCTCTTGTCGGATCTGTCGTGCAGAGTTTTGGACTTCTAATTCCTTGCAGCGGAGCATGCAACTGCACACAGATGTCAGAAAGCAGAATCGGGGACTCTCAATGCCCTTTCAATGGGGACCAAGGCCATGGTAGCAGACGGATCGGCTTTTTTCGGAGGTTCATTTTCCTTGCTTGGCGGCTTTGTTGCTGCCTCCAAGCCACAACCCCATCTACAACAGTTCCATGGATGTTATAACATCCAATCAATGTAATGCCTCAAGTTGTTGCAACACTCCTGTGCCATCCAAGTAAATTTCGATATTGGATACCGTATGACATTAGATGAGATTAGATGAAATTACAGCAAATGGTCCGTCATCCATCTTACCACGAACCTTCCACATTGATTGCATGACCCTGAGCTCCCTACTGCCCGTCGCCGGTCGTCTCTGATGCGGTCATACCTAGGGTTTCAGAATTTACAGTACAAAGACGCTCGCAATATTGGGATCTCTTGAGTATTGGGTGGGGGTCCATCCAGTATCAAATCTTGAGGCTTGAGAACGTCCAATAAAAGCATTTCACGGTGACCGGACCAGGTTCATCTGCTAGCAGCAACCAAACTGTAGTTAAGTCGAACCAAAGTGTTCAATTGTCGAACCAAAGGAGAAGACATCAAGTGCTTGATATGAAGCCAACTCTGAGAAACTGCAAACTCCGAAGGCACATTTACAAAAATCCGCCCGCACCGAAGGTGCCGAGGCTTTTTTTGTGTGCACCCTTAATCCAGAAGCAATTGCAATAGCTATTAAGCTTTAGCTTGGGGGGGCTTTTATTCCTCTGGAATCTTGTGTGTTTCCGCGTCTTTTTAAAGGGACCTAAAATCGGCTAAGTTGCCAAACTTGGGCTCGACATGGCCCAACGTAGGCCCAACATAGGCCCATATTGGGCCCAACATTCTTCACCATAGGCCCAACAAGCTCTACAACATAGGCCCAGCATGGCCCAACATTCAACACAGGCCCAATATAAGCCCAACATGGGTGCAACATACATAGGTCCAAGATAGCTCAACATGTGTCCAACACGGCTCAACATGTTTCTGCATGATATATGTCAATATGTGATTATTGGAACTTCAGAGCTAACACTCTGGTGCGGGCGGTTGTCGTCGTGAAGCGACTAGAATATGCTTTCCTTCAGCTCAAGATTTCAATGATTGAGATCCACTCCACTCCCGGAGATGAGTCTGTGGTCCTCTGTGGTCCTCTGTGGTCCTCTGTGGTCCTCTGTTCATCTGACGTCCTGAGTTCCCCGCTCTGCCTGCTTCTGAGAAACAAACCTTGCTCCGAAACAGAAAATGTTGCAATGGCAACATGAAAAGCTTGTTAGACTTGGATGATCAAGTTCACCCAGCCGTGCCTTGCAAGTTTCCCAGTCACGCAGTTGCACATCAGATTATGATTTAAAATTTAAACAATGTCTTTCAAGGTGTTGTCCAACATGTGGAGCAAACAAGAATTTCAATCAGAATTTTGGGAAATAACAATCACCCAAACAGCTTTTCCTTCAATGTGTTCCTATTCTTAGCATGCGTTCCTATCCTTGGGTGAAGGGAGAAATGATGCGAATTGATTTAACGTTGAGAAGAATCCAGATCGGTACTCGATCACATCCTGACTCCAAAGAAAATGGCCTAGCTGTGCCTCGTGAGGGAAACACGATGGAAGGCCCTGTCTGAGCCCCGGGCTCTTGCCAGACCCGTGCCTGGTCAGGTTTGGAAGCAGTCGAACCATTGGGTATTTGCGACGTCAAAATTGGAAAGAACAGTCATGCCAGTTGGGCTCCGATTGCATCTAAAAATTGGATGTTATGTGCTGGAAAATTGTGGGAAAATTGTGGGGCCGACACAGGGCCTTCTCCTCCTCAAACGCTTCGCGTTCGCGCTGAAGGGCAGAATGATCCTCCTGCAGCCTCAAAGCCAGGACAGAGGGAAAGCTCTTGGAGGCTGCATGTACGAGTATCATGAGGCAGTCCTTCTCTTAACCTGCATGTCCGCCTTCAGAATTGGTCAGCTAAATCACATGCGTCGTGGAATGTTGGAGCCCCCAGGCTCAATGAGCATGCTGAAAAGATTCGAGCAGGTATTGGCTTCTCACCGCAATGCTGGTCGCACAACAAAACAATGTACACTTGGTCGCAGAGTTGTAAAACCAGTCAAGCGTGAAAATTGACAAAGCAAACAACGAGGTCGTTGCTTGGAGAGGAGGTATCATGTCCAAAGATGTGCCATTTTTGGTAGCTACAGCATGTACACTGTACAATGTCCGATTGTCCGATTCTGCGCTTACATTATATTTCACTACATTGTCAATGTGCATATTACACATAATGTCATGTCGTAACATATCATATTGTATCATATGATATGATAGTGTGAACCCCCAACAAGGACTGGTTTCTTCAAGGCACTGCTTTTCAGCTTTCTGCACCCAGAGCCTGGCACACAAATTACAACAAACCAGGGCAGTGCTCAACATCTTTCGCTAAGATCTTTGATTGACATAAAGATGTTGAGCATCATCGATTAGGTCACTACATATATCTACATATAATTCTAGACGAATCTGTTGTGTTGTGCTGAATTTATTTGGCTGATGGTTTCGGACATGTCCCGGCCTCATTTTGCTTGTCGTGCTACTTGGAATGATGATCCCCGACGAACACTCGATTATTTAGGGTGTGGCTCGATATGTCCAATAGAAATTGGGTAAAGTGCTCGTTTCCATAGGTAGAATCGCCACTGGCATTTGGTCTTCGTGACAGCACGCTTAAAACTGCACAAAAACGCCGCCACCCGAATCATGTCAGATCCGCGTGAACGTACGTTTGATCTCTGCGCTCATGGTGCTAAACTCATCCTACAATGGCTAGTCTGGCAACCCAGTCGTGCGATGTCGTGCGCAGTAACAACAAGGTCCACTCAGCATGACAAAACATAGTAATCCCGCAGTTGACCAATGTAATTGGGCCTCATTAAATCTGGCATTCAAAGGATTGAGGAAATAGTTGGATACTCAGTGCATCTCAAACATCACCAATAAGATCGGACTCTCTCACGGCGAAAACCCTGCAACACTTGCCTTTCAAGGTCCGTGAAAACTGTTTCCACTGAAATACCACTTCCCAACATGCTAAAAGTCCATGTTGAAGTGCTTCACATAGGATGCAATTTCCTTGGCCATTTAGCATTTTGTGGTTTTATTGTGTGAAACAACCCAGGCATCCGTGGAGGATTACTCAAAGCATCTCAAAGTTATATTTGAAAAAAATTGAAGACTTGGAAGATTTGGTCTTGACTTGGTGACTTTGGGAAACCAAAATCAAAGTCTCCTGTGAGGACAAGCGCACCGGAACGGGGCCCAAGGTGCCAGACACGGATGGCATTTGAACCTGGCCAAGACACACCATTCGCTGCCATTGGAAACGCATTGAAAGAGTGTTCATCACATTTTTCAAGTCATTGGGGTCGAAAATGATGAATATATAAGCATGCATCCTTCCATTTTCCACTGCACCATACAGAGTTCCACCGCCAGCAGGAACGTTTGTTGTTCCAAAAGCTGGCTATTTCACACCCCAGGCCAGGACAGGTGACAAGGGCGGGGTTTGAAAAACAATGGGATGGGGGAGCTTGAGCGGTGGTCATGACAGTCACAAGCTTGTATTCAAGCATGCATCCTTCCATTTTCCACTGCACCATACAGAGTTCCACCGCCAGCAGGGACGTTTGTTGTTCCAAAAGCTGGCTATTTCACACCATCACTCCCTGCCTCTCCAAGCTCCTCGCCGTCGCTGGCCTGGAATAACGACCACCAAGTTTGTGGGGGGACTGCACAGTTGAGAAAGCCAACAGCCGTATTCAGAATCTTCGAAAAGTTTCCAGCCAATTGCAACACCTGAGTACGGGTGTGTCTGTCAAGCTTCTCAGCATATGTTGTGTACATGATCTCCTGGAGGTAAATTTCCATCACCCGGGAAGTGACCCATCTGCCCCTTCTCCGGACCAACTCGGAATCCTCAGAGGCCAACAACAAGTGCGTCGCACCCCCAGGGCGTAACGAACCCAGGTTAAAAGGCCGCCTGCCTTTTGACCTTTCAGTTTGAAGCCCGAGTGCTGCCAGCAGATGATTGAAACGTTTCCTCAAAGTTTCTGCTGAGTAAGGCCACAACTTTGAGCTCGCTGGGAAACCATTGTAAATTGCTGTCAAAAGCATCAGAATGTCTGGTGGATCTATACGAGCAGCTTGGTGACGAGCTGCTCTTCCACGGGTTTTCGGTGTTTTGATTCTGAGGAGGCCGAAAAGGGTCCCCGGTGCCGCATCGCACGGGAGGATCAAATCAGACCTATCTGCCAATAACACTTCTCCAACCCTCAAGATTCCACACCATGCCAAACTGATCACACCCGCTTCCAATGGCCAACCCCACATGAGTGCTAATGACAGCATTGCAAGGAGGATGGACAATGGAAGTGCGGGGTGATGCTCAGTCGGCTCGTCAACCAACCAAGCAAAAGCAAGATCCCAAGCGCCCACAAGCTGTTTCCTCACAATTGGCCTTGCGGCCGCCACTGCGTTGATTGTCTCAGCAAACTTGCCATAAGACTTTCCTGCCAAAAACATCTCCTGTCCATAGAGAGTGAGCCACCTACTGATTTCTTCCGCATCTGGAGGTTTTGCAGTAAGCAGCTGTGACAGGTAAACCTCGTGAGTCTGGTACAGCCATGCTCTGAAGTCAGAAAGCAGCTTTGCTCTGCGGTCCAGTGTGTCCTTCCTTGCAACCCTAGTTGCAATCAGATTTGTCCCCTCACGCCTTTCAGCTCTCCCACGCTCGACCGCAGTCTGAGGTACCATGGCTTCAGCTAAACTAAAACCTACCAAAATCCACAGAGATCTAAGTGGGGCTTTCCTACCTACTGGACAAGACCAGGAGGGAAAGGAGAGGACGACAAACCAGACGAAAGGTGCCAGTACCTGACAGAGAAATCCAAATTCCAAAATCCAATGACAGACTGAGACCAGACCCCGATCAGAAGAGACTGCAGAACCGAAGGCAGAGGCAAGAGTCAAGGCAGTGGAAATCCAATCATTGAAGAGGCTGAGGGTCTTGGAGCAGGCTTGAGGAGAAGCCGATCGAGATGAGTCATGGACCTCCTCCCAGCTGGAATCGTGGACCTCCTCAAAACTCCATCCTTCTCTCTGTTGCTCCTCAAATCCCTCTGAAAAATGACTGGGGAACCAAAAATAAAATGACTCTCTGCACACTGCTCTTCCATCTATGCATTCCGCCGAAGCTGGCCCAGGGAGGACGAGCAGCAGCAGGTACAACCTGATCCAATTTGCAGCCCAACGCGATAGATGCTTCGAATGCATCAGCTGCAGCTGAGACCTGTCAAGATGTGGAATAATTGACTGGCCCGAAGACTGCCGAAGTCTAACTCGACGCGTTGGGTCATCAGCAACATTCAAACGGGTCGGTGCAAACGACCACCCAGGGTAAAGTCCAAAACAAACCTGGATGGCTGCACTTCGCTTGCAAGCTCTTTGAAGACCAAGTGAAGAGCTGCGTCCCTTTGCCAGGGCACCTTTTGCGACCCGTGAATCCAAAAGTCCAAGGAATCTGCTGTCAGGCTGTTTCTCTGCTGCTGTGGTGAGGACCCCAATGCCTGAATGAGCTTCCAAGACATTTATGTGGCTCTTCCTCTTCCAATACCAGCTCTTCTCCTCCTTCCATGAGGCTGTCTGCAGCAGGTCATTCACAACAACGCTCTCATGACCATCAACTTGAGGCTGATCACTTTCAAGAAGCTGGACCCTCTTGAGGGCTCTGCCAAACTCAGCTGCAATATGCGCAGCAAGGGGCCAAGTGTAGACTGCGCTTCCTTTTGTCAAAGAGCCCTGAATTTTGACATGACTGTGGCCACCAGGACACTTCACCTCCAAACGTTCAACGTCCAAACCATACAGCAGCAAAACGAACTCCTTCTTGTGGGGCGAGCCAAATTGACAGGAGGCTATGACCGCTTGCCTGAAGCCAAGCCTCAAAAGTGCCAGCCAAGCTTGCATCCAGGCCATTTTGCTTCTGCGTGGCTGCTCCTTGCCACAAGGTCTTCTGAACCTCAAACCATGACGCAAGAGGACAAAGGAGCGAAAGGCCAACATGTTTCCCAGCCAGGTCTTTGGACAACTGCGGTCAAAACCTTCAGGCAAAAGATAAGATCTGACTGCAGGGTATGCCGCTGGGCTGAACGTCGTGCAAGGGGGCTCTGTCAGGAAGGACCTGAAACGACCTTGCTCAATCATGTGTAGGCACCACTCCAGGAGCCTTACATCAGTCATGTCGTAGTGCTTCGATGCAGTCAGGTCAAGACATGGAGCAACAGTGAAGCCCAAATCAGCCATGCACTTAGAGACTCGCCCTGACCCACCGAAGAACTCCACAAAGTCATAGTACATAAGCAGGCCCTTTGAAGGTCCAAGCTCTGGCAAAGGAAGGTCGTAACCCTCATGGACTTCCTCACCCGCTGCAGCAAGCATAGCCAAGGCAGGCCCGTCGAGCCTTGTGTAGCAGCCCTTTTTGTCACTACCAAGCCAAAGCACTTCAACCAAACTCTCATCAACCTCAGCTGAAACGACGGCTCCCAATCCAAGCGAAGCATCTGATGCATAGATGGTGGGGCTGTACTTGATGGCAATGTTTGAAGTTGCTAAAGGTACACAGGCGGCCAAAATACTGAGCTCCTGTGCAACTTTCCGTGGCAAAGGCAAGGCTGCATTTTTCCCTGATGCTTCAGCTTCCGCTGCTAACTGAAAGAAACCATCAACTGCAGCAGTCAAACAACGCCGGTAAAGCAAAACAGACGTCCAACTCCCAGCCAAACGAGAGGCCAGCTTCGCAGTGATCATGTTGAGCTTTGCAGCTCGCAAAGTCAAAGCTGAAAGAGCAAGACGTTTCGCTAGAGGGGCTCCAACCGTTGTGACTCCTCTTCGAACAGCTGACCTACTTGAGACAATTTCAGCACCGGCAGCTTTGAAAGTGGTTTCTGCCTCAACATCCTTCTCAGCTGAGCCTTCTAGCCCGGCAGCACTGTAAACCTCTCGGGCCGCAGAAAGAGCTTTGGCAGCAAAGGTATTGACAGGGTCATGGTCAATGGGCTCACATCCAATGGCAAAGTAATCATCAATGATAAGGCCCTCAAAAGACTTTCCAAGGGGGAAAAGCGCATGTCCCTGCAGTCTACGATGAGGCTTCAAAAGTCCACCCTTCTGCAAAACATCCTCATGAGCCTTCAGCGCAAACTCAACTCCAAGATGATCACCTTGAAAAAGCGAACCAAAAGCAGGGTACCACATTCCCTCCTTGGCAGCATGCTCAAAACTGCTACTGCCGGAAATCTCAAAACCATCGCCAACAACCTCTCTTGCCTTTTTCTTTGGGTTCTCATGCTCACGACTCTCCCAGGCATCAGTGCAGGCCAAGTCCTCCTCAGCAAATGAAAAGGATAGCAAATTGCTCCTCGCTCTCTCATCAGTGACTTTTGCCTGGTGATAGAAATCTCTACGGTCAGTGATAGACCCAACCAGGCATTCTTCATATGGCTCGATCCGCAAATTTGTAAGGAGAAAACCAGGAGGAAGGTGGTGTGAAGGCCCATCAATTGCCCTCTCTCGAGAGTTTGGGATGCGTCGGTCTCCAATCTGCCTGTCCGTAGAAACGTTCTTGTAGCAATTGAAAACTTTGCAGAAATGGTCCTTCATGCAAGGTCTCTTGTAAAGCCTCAACAGACCTCTAGCATCCCAAACCTTCGCCAGCTTCAAATTCTCATCTCGGCTCTCACTTGCAAAAGACGGCCAAACAGAAGGGTCATCACGGTCACCATGGAGAAGGAATCTAGGCTCCTGAAATGGGAGCCAAAGGGGTCCATCCAAATGATCAGCCATAGGCCACTTCCCCTTTCCAATGAGCTTCAGCCTGGAAGCATCGAGCGCCTTGTAGGGGATCAATTCAGGGTACTCATCCTTTGGCAAAAGCTGTTTGTCCTCGCTGAAAACAGCAGGCTTGTGCTGCACATAGCTTTGGCTCAGCTCAGGGTGGAGATCGAAAAACCTCTCCAAATGCAAAAGGGCAGCAGCCAATTCAGGGCCCGAGCAGCCTGGGACAGCATCAAACTCTTCAGTGCTGTCTGCACACACAGCTATGAGTGCCCTCAGCCTCGCAAAAACGCTCAGCTGCAACTTGTTGGGACGCCTCTCAAGCTCTGCGAAGCTAGGGAACCTGCCAAGGTAGAGAAAGTCCATAGCAAAGACCAAAACATGAAGCAGTCTCTGCTGGGAAACCCTCAATCGCTGGCTCTTCGACAACTTGAGGCCACTACCGTCAAAACACCCTGGGTGAGGAGCAGGCAGGGGAAAAGCTGTGGTTGACGCCAAGGAAGACAAGCGCCAGGTTGCAGTGAAAGATCGCCAAAGGTGCCAAGAGAAACTTGTACGGCACCTCAAAAGCCACCTTGGCAAACAAAAGGCCCAGGTGCAAAAATCAAGTTTGGAGCGCAAGGGATTTGACTCCTGCCCCCTTGACTCCTGAACTCGCTCTCCATGCTTTGAACGCCAGACATCTGCTAGGCGTCGGTCTCCTCCTGTCGTTCTTGTGCCCCTTTTCCCTTTCCCTTTTTCTTGGGCTGGCCCTTCGCTTTTGGTTTCGCTGCAGCGTGGCCTGCAGCTGAGTCTTGCGAAGCTTCTGAAGGGAACTTGGAGCCGGAGTTCATCTCGCTCCGTTTGGCCGCTATCACCTCCATTTCTTTCAGAAATGCCAGAGCACATGTCACCCAACGTTGATCCGCTAAAGGCGCGAAAGAGCGCGCCCTGGAGGTTGATGACAACTGGCGATTGACGAAGATGCTTGCTGGAGCATCTTCCTGTAGGCAAAGCAAAGTCGCCAGCTCCATTCTGCCCCCGTCGAGGCTCGCCTGCTCTAGGGACACTGCCAAGAGAGCCACTCCGTCCATGGCAGCCATGTAGTTCTCGGCCATCAAAAAGTCGAAAATCATCATGACTTGATACTGCAACTGACCCAACTCCCGAACACGGCCGTAGCCCCCAAATCTCTCTAGGTATCTCACACCTGAAACCCCCCTGTTGAGCAGCTCCTCCGCTGAAGCACAAGGGTTGCTTGTCGGGGCCATGCGTCTGCTCATGCTCTGCATCACGCTCTGGAAGAAGGTGCCACGATGCTGAGCTAGTTCCAGCTGGAGCTTTGCTCTGGTAGCTGCCCCCCTTGTGCTGGAGGAAGCTGAACTGCCCGTGAGCTCTGCCATGGGGTCGTTCTGAGCCGAAGCAATCTGCGCCACAAGAGTTGTAAGGGCCTGACTTTGTGCCAAAACTGCCTTGGCCAATACACTGTCTGAACTCAGGCCGGACTCTGTCTCTGTTGCCAGCTTCTCTGATTCCAAAGCCAAAAGTTCCTTGGGCTTCGCTGCATCTGACGAAGCCAACAAACCAAGGTTCGCCTTCGCCTGCGTCCGTGGCGGAGGACGGAGACTTCTTGCCAACTCTGAGACAGGAGGAGGATGGGCGGTCAGCGTGCCACTCAACGTCTGTCCAAGCCCCAAAGCTGAAGCCTTCCCAGGAACGGCAATCCTCTGCTCCAAAAGGGCCTGTCTCTCGGAGATCTGGCTCAGTTGCTGGGAGATCTGAGGAAGAGTGGACATGAGCCCTTGCATGTCTGCTGCCAAAGACGCTGTGGTGACCCGCTTTGGTTTGGCACCAGCGCCTAAAGGAGTAGCCTTTCCTGGAGGCTGCCTTCTGGGGCGTGGTGTTCTTGGGGCCTGATCTTCTTCCACTGCATCCTCTGGAGTGTAAAACCCTGCTCTCATATCGTGAGCTCTGGAGGCCCACTCGGAGATCATTGGAAGCATGGCATCGACGATGGGAAAAGCAAATGGAGAATCCTCGTCGAAATTGTAAACAATGTCTTCCTGGATGCCAAACTCTCTCATATGACATAGAACCTCGGGCTTGCAGTCGATGATGAGAACTTCTACATTGGTTCCAGTAGGCGACACCACACCGCCATCTACGATGGAGGCAGGGACCTCGGTCACAAAGGAAGGTCCAAAGATGCCGTCGCTGTCCTCTGCATTCCCAGCATCCACCAGCCGCTGTGGAAGAAACATCGCGGGCAGGGCCAAAAGGATTCCACCTTCTCGCCTCATAACTGCCAAAACTGTTGTCTCTGCTTCTCCATCCTCCTCCTCGTCCGTGAGAGGCCACGACAGCACGTAGGGCTTTATGGCTTCCACGGCAGGGATGGATGATGTTGTCCATAGTGATCCCCGCATCCAGAGAGTCCATCATGATTAGGCCCTGGTCTGGTACTCAGAGATGCCAGCCCCTGCAAAGTAGATCTTGGCCTCCAACTCAGACGGGAAACCGTGAGTGATGCTGCTGGAAGTGGTGAGATCTCCGACGATCTCCCAATAGGCCCCAGCGGACCTGCAAAGGGTCGGGGACTCAATTCCAGTGGCCCGGACCACAGCGTAGACTCGTGGGCGTAGGTCCAACTGAGCCGTACGGTTTGGAGAACGTACGCGGCCCAAAGAAACCGCCTGAGCCCACTGACCTGCCTTCCAGGCTCTTTTGATCCTCTCTTCAGACGACAGTGAGGAACCTGATAACTTTGCAGATAAGTCCAAAAACCTTTGAGGACAGCTGGAGAAAGATGCTTCGATCTCACTCCTTGTTTCCTGACGAGGTACTGGCAAAGGATCCACAGGCTCAGGGTTGCCCCCAGCTGATACCAAATCAAATGAAATGTCAGAAGCTGAAGGAGAAGCAGCACGAGGAGCTCTCTCACCCAAGGCCAAGACTTTCTGGAGGAAGGAAGCTGCCGAAGCTGATGGCCCCTGAATAGTGATTCGCAGGTCCCCCACGGAACAAACCAGCTCAACGTTGCCGTCGTCTTGAGAACCTCTGGGCATCCAGGTACCCAACTAGCGCAGAATGCCGGTTGGGACTGGCGTGAAGATCAGGAGGGACAGAGGCGAGAGAAGACAATGGTGGAAGAAGGAGAGGCCACAAAGTCCAAAGTCCAAGAAGGGCCAGACAAATACCACTGATGAGACCCACCAGAAAGACCAAAATCAAGACAGACCAGGTGGGCTCAGAGCAGTAGGTGGGGCAGCCCCAGCCGAAGTAGTTGGTTCTGGCACCTTGGAGAAGGACAGGGACCAACCTGAAGACACCCTCGAGCATAGGGAGCTTGAGCGGTGGTCATGACAGTCACAAGCTTGTATTCATATATATATATACGAAGAGAAAAATCTGTATGAGCCAGAAATGTTCATTTTTTACCTAAAACAATTCGCAATTGGCCTATCCATCCACAATTGTTCTGTAACATCACCAAAGAAACTTAATTAGTGTGCTATGAACAAGAGAACCTGAATTGTTGGATGTTTCAATTTTTTAAATAAAAACAAAAATGGAAAAAGATCATGCCCATCGGCCCATCGGCGCAACTTTCCATCTTGCTCTCCCCTGTTCGCTCGTGGCAAACCTCTGTTCTCAGCATCCGTCCCTCATCAAAAGCTGACGGTGGAGACATAGGCGGTGGAGCTGTACCTTGTCATCAAGCAAACAGTTCGCACGTACCATGTTAAGCGTTGGGGGGTTTTGCATTTATAAAATTCAACAGTTTCCATCCAGTCGTTTTGAAAAACCAACCAAAAAAATCAAATGATTAATGGCCAACATCTCAATCTATGATTCTACGTTTGTTCACAAAGCGGCGCATGGTCGCATACATTCTTCCAAGTCACCTGGTAGGTGGCTTTCCCGAATGCTTGGCCCTGGTACCTTCAATGGGCCACTTCGGCAACAAAATCATGAATATTGTTCCAAAAATTGGAATTAAGATTTGAAGATCATCATTAATCACATTTTTTCGCCAAGTGTCAAGGTTCAAAATCCAACATGTTTGACACTGGTTCGGATTTCATGACACCTTTTTTTTGCAATCATAAACACCACTGCGGCAAGTCACGTCAAATGGACTGCCAAAACCATCGCCGAAATCCATGGTCGTTGGCCTTGACAAATCAAACTGAAAGCACCTTTGTGTGGTGACGTTGATCGTGTCCCGGTATGGACATGAAAAAGAAAATGGTGACAATTTGAATGCTTGCCAAATTTGCAGAAACGCGATTTTCCACAATTAGTAAATCATGAAATTCAAGCGTTGAACATGTGCAAAAACACAAATGAGGAATCACTAAGGCCGGCGCCTGATGTTCCCAGCCAACGATGGAGCTGCATCGAATGACGCCATTGTAGTTATTTCATTTTTTCGAAACTGATGGGACGGATTCAATTTTTCAATGTTGATGGGATTGTACCAATGGCTGTCATCTGCTCCCCAAGAGTGCAACTGTGCAACTGCCAATTTTTTTTCCAGTGTCGAAAACGAACACGCAGTACATGTCAACATTGAATGTTTCCATGTCGTGTTTTGAAATCAGGTTCATATTTTTTTGCGACCTTGATGCCCCAAAAAACAACAAAAATGAAATTTCTAATACCATGCGACATAAAAAAACGCGGGCCCATTGATGCATAATTGTTTGAAAATGCTTTGTTCATATAACGCACCAAGACAAAATACCCAACCTTGCAAAACATGACAAAACTGCAATATAATAGCAACACTGTTCCCAACGTGTTGAAAAGCATGATTTTCTGGTTTCACCCCCGCACACCGTGTTGAGGGTGTTTGCGGGTATTATATGTGCCTAAGTCGCAAACAAAATGATGCAAAATCGAAAACTGTGAATGTCGTTGTGTCTAGACTTTGGTTTTCTACTGACATGGTTCAAGTTTTTGTTACAGTGTTACAGGTTTGACAAAGACAAAAGTTATCTCGGCATGGATACACAAGCACAGCAAATGGAATGCGACCGGGCGCGGAGGTTCCAAAACCACCGAAAAAAATTGAACACCCATGTCAAAGCAGCAGGGTTTCCAAACAATTTTTGTTTACCTTCTCACCTCGCGCACAGGTCTCAAGGGCCCTTGATCCATAAAGGGGGCCGGCAAGCACAAAGGTCACAGATTCACACACATCCTACTTTACAGATGTGCCATAACATGAGCTCAATTTGATTCCCACGTTCTCTTCTCCTTTCGCTACGCAGTACCGGTTTTCATTCTGTAAAACACAAGAGCTCAGCTTCGCTTCACCTTTTTGACATTGTCATGTCACGAGGCCCGTCTTAGGCTGAAGGGCTAGCGGCTAGGCCACGACGTGGAAGTCGAACAAGAAGAGACTGCAAAGCCGAAGTTTCAAGTCATGTGCATGTGGTGCTTGAGGAAGGTGGTGGGTAAGCGCAGAAACAACAACGTGGGCATCATAAAGTGTAGTCTCACAGGCGACATTCACATTATTCTGCAAAAGTTTTCCCAACACAAAAGCTGAGTTTCGCTTCACCTTTTTGACACTTTGGCATGTCACGAGGCCCGTCTCCCCATCTTCAATCACTCTCGTGACCAGCTCAAAGAGAAGAGTAGCAGCAGTTGGGGAAACGTTTGTAGCTCTTGGGAAAAACTCTGCACTGATGTCGTTCCTGGAAGGAGGGTCTGCAATGTTGCTTTTTGAAGGCACGCGCGCAAGCCATGTAAAAGAATGGACACAAGTTTCTAATTCTGCGAAAAACCCGCAAGCAAATCAACGGTGCTATTTTCTGAGGACCCTTTGAGCAAGGAGAATTTGGTCCCTTCATTGTCAACAAAAATCAAGCAACGTTTGTTTGCAAAGCGCTGCAAGTGTCTCTGTTTCAAAGAATATTTGTTTCTTGTAGCGTTCGCCTAAGGCATTGCGCCCACGTTCATCAACCAACAAAAAAAAGAATCGCGCCTGCCCTTTCCAACAAAGCACTCCACACAAACCACATGGCCAAGTGTCATCATCACGCTCGTAACAAGCGTCCGTGAAAATTACCACATTCTCATCATTAAGCGCGCGCACTTCCCTGGGCACATTATTTTGCGGCAATTGTTTGAAGAGGTTGAGCAAGAAGATGTCCATTGTTCTCAGTTTCTGTATCATGCCCTTCTGCAAACTCACTCAAAACTTTCAAACAGCTTCTGCCAGTTCGTCAGAACATCTGCGCTTCTGCAAATTGCATGTACCCACCCGAACGCTGCGCATGCTTTGCACTGAGGGTTCCTCCATGTATCACATCTTGCAAATCACCACAGTGCTCAACAACTCTGGATTCAGTATTCCGCACCAACACGGAGCCCAGGCCAGAATCATGCAAATCGAAGGAGACCCCCAGCGCCTCAGCAAAGGCCCAGCCCAGCAGTTTAAACAGTGAAACAATTGTATTCTTGGTACAGCTCACCAACGCCGAATGAAATGAAGTCATCGTAGAACGACGTCCAAAGCAGTCGGCAGCCAGCCACGCCTATCCACCATATGGCCCTTGCCAGTCGCAGAAAAGCATGTACACTTCGTCCTGCACCAAAAGGCAACACACGACTTCTGAATAGCTCATGCTCTTGCCCTCAGGGTCAAATACTCTGTGCTCAATGCAGCCTGTCTGTATGCACTTGTCAAATCGAAGGTTCGCACCACAAGCTTAGGGTCAAGTCCACCCTCATCACACATGCCAAACCACAATGATAGCACCGCACAAGCCACGTCAATTGTATGTAGTAAAACTGGTGATTCAACCAATGTAACATGTGTATTAGCACCTGATTCAGTGTAATCATCAATCAACCTGATTTTGCCCTGCTTCTGTCGAAATCCAAATCTTCTGGATATCGGTTGGTCATCGGGCACTTCGCATCGCTGCAAAGGACCCAGCAACCAACCGCGCTCAACTTCTTCCAGCGTCTTTGACCAAACAAGCGCATCAATATTGTCATCACCAGACCCCATGCACTCGCAATCCAGTTTGGGTCTGATGCGTCTGGCATTGCTCTGCAGCTCTTCGATTGTAGCCAACGCTGAGCTGAACTTTCCAGGCAGCATGTTGGTAGCGGGTACTTGGCCTGTCAAATTTGAGCAAGTCTCAGTTCATCAACTAGACTAACTAGACCCAAATCGGGAAAATTTCCTTCCTTCAACAGTTCTTCAAAAAACAAATATACTTTTTCCTGCCACTGCCGTTGCAACTCCAGGCTCCATAGTCTCTTTCAAGGCGCGCTCATCTTCAGACAAGTCTTTGGCACGCTTCAGCCACCTGGCTAAAACTTGGCCCAATGTGCAACAACCTCATGCTCCTTTGTTTGTCGGAAATTGTGCCAACTCAGTGGTCTGAATGTCGAACTCTCCAGTGTACCTTGACGATGAAGAGCGTCCTTTAACCAGCGGAGAGTCCGATCTGCCTGTCCCGGCCGGGGGATCAGGCCCGTAAAGTCAGAGCTGACTGTTGGGATGAGGTAGTCCATGTCCTTGAACTTGTCCTGGGCCACCAAACGATCCCAGGCTTGCGGGAGTATGGACCACCAGTCACCAGTCCAAACCCGTGAAAGAATAAAGTGGTGCAATCAGTGGCACCGGGTTCTTCTTGATCCGAAATGCACTGACCGTTTTGGTCTGCCAGGCTTGGAGTTCCAGGGTGGCCTCTGTGAGTTTGTAACCCCCCGGACTAGTAAGCTGGAGATCATTAAACCTGGCACTACAGGCAACTTGGAATCTGGCCATGGCGCAAATGTATCTGTCCAAGACAAACTTGGGAGATGTTGATGCACCAGTTGCAGCGGTGAGACCCTCCCCAGCGGCTATTTTCTCCAGCATCATGATGACCTCCTTGGAGGGGAGCTGGGCTTTGCGCTGGGGCTTGACGTTGGTTTCCACCAGGCCTTCCTGGATGGTCTTCCTCTTCGCCTTGAGGCGTTCCAGGCTGTCTGGGTCAAGAAGGCCAAACCTGGCGGAGAACCACCGTAGGGTATTCCATATCCCTTGGAGTTTGTG